TCTAGATTGGATGCTTTCAACTGTTCATTCTCTCTCCTAACCATTTCAGTCCGATCCTTTTGTGCAGTACATTCAGCTTTTAGATGCTCAAACTCCTTATTAAAGAAAGTCAGGGATTCCTGAAAATCCTGAATCAGTCCCTTCATTTCACGTAGTTGTGCTTTGTTCTCTTCATAAAGCCGTTCCATCGATAATTGTAGTTCCGATCTCATAACTTTCCTTATATCATCCATAGATACACAGGAACATGTAGTCTTAATACGATGGGTTACATTGGTTCCCTCGTCGTCAGATATGACAACTCCCTCTCGTACAACCCCCCGAACAGGTGTGTTAGTATTGTCACCTTTAGGACGACGAGATCGGCATAGATCACAGCTCCAGGTATCCTTGTTCTCATTAGTCATTAAAAGAAATCTCTTTTCTGAGACATTAGCGCATTCCAGATCATATATTTGCTTACACAAATAACATTTAATGAAACGCCTGTCAGATATAAGGTTCGGACATGCGCAACATTTCTGATTCTTCCCTTTGCGATCCATAGTTATGAAATTCAGAGGCAAGTAAAATAAAAAAAAAAAAAAATTAAATATAAAAAAAAAAAAACAAAAAAGGGCGAAATGATGATTTGTAGGCGCCGAGGCTCGAACCGAAGACTTGATGAGTACTTGGCAGTAGTAATACTGCCGGCGCTATCGGTTGACTGACGAATTGTGTCGAAATAAGGAATCCGAAACTCCAAAGACAAAATGTTAATAAATTTGTTGGTTGAAATGGATCTTTACTTATAAGCTTGCCCTCTCACAAAGATTGTGCAACACAATTCATGATAATATTTTGTATTATATTACTGGTAAATCCGCACAGAATGGACTGGAAATGTACACACACACACTTCTTCTCTTGTACTTTAAACTGACACTACTTTCTAACTGTAAGGAATGTTTTTTTAATACTTTAAGATTTTTTAACTGAACAGAGATTTATTCGCGTCTGACTTAGCTGAGCTTGCCGCTTCGAGTTTTGAAATTTGGCACCATAGAGGTTACATTAAATAGGTTTAATGACGTTTTGAATTTACAATTATATTGAGTACTCATTATATGTGATGTTCTAAATTCAAATCTACTTTGCCGCTCAAGCGAATAAAATAGAATTTTCCAGCCAGATTTCGAAGCGCAAAATTACACTTTCCGAGGTGGTGGGATGAAAAAATAGCTTTCATTACATTTCACTTCACTAGTAGCGATATCTTTTGTTTTGTTATATCGATGCCTCAATGCGGATGACGTTCCTAGATGTATAATGTAATCGATACAAGCAGGTAGTAAATATGTTGATCTTATATCACATTACAAGGTACTATGGTAATTGAGATTCCACACCATACTTCAACTGTTGTTATTATGTTCCTCACACGAGTCTTCTCCGAATACAGTGTTGCCTGCATCGATTTTTTTAAAATTGGGAGACGTTATAGAAAAAAACAGTAGAGAAACAGGTGGAAAGAGCTACAGAAAAAGCAGCAGAGGCAGATGCAGGTTTAATTCCGTACCCCCCCCCCCCCCCCCCCAAATAGTATTTTTTTTAGACAATAGGCTAGTTGACCCTTTTTGGAAAATGGTTTTAAATGATTAATAAATGTTCTATTAGACCGGAAAAAAATGTATTGTATTTTTTTTAAACCTAGAAAGCTACAAATCTTTAATTTTAAAATAGACTTTTCATGGACATACAAAAACGCTGTCGGCCATTTTAGTCTATAGATTATCTATGCTATGACGTGAACTGTGGTAAACAAAAACTCGTAAACACGTAGAAAATTACTTTTAACTGAGTTTATAATAAAAAAAAACATGATTTCTAATAAATACCACGAAAACTAAAGTAATTATCATTACTGTATTGTACGAGAATATAAAAACACATCCTTGAAGACTCCAGGAAAGTTGTGGATTAAAGTGCCGAAAGAAATTAACCTACGCAACTTTATTACACTTATTCATATGTTGTATCAGTTTTATGTTTATTACTACATTGTAATACTAAATGCACTGTACTTACATAGATGCCTTGTCGTTTCTCTGCTCCGCAGAGCAGAAATCGGGGTTTAGTGCAACAAATTCACCAACCATCAATGCGTCAATTCTTGGCAGATTTGTGCTTTCTGCTTTCACAAAGCCGGTTAGTTTTGTCAAAAAAAAAACTAAGTTTACTGTTTTTTTCTTTCCTAAAGTTAAAAGTGTTTTAAGATAAAAGTCAGACGAAAGAATCCACCTACAGTAACACGCGACGCGAATGACATTTAGTTGTTTACCACAAGAGACGTCAAAATCATGGCGGATGTGGCGAACAGCGTTTTTAGTGTTTAAAAAATATAGACTAAAAAATATTTTTTAAAATTAAATTTCAACAGCAATCTTCTGCTTTTATGAAGTGAAATCGATATATTAAGGTTCCTTAGACTAAATACTTTAAGAAATAAACATTTATTTAATATAATTCGACATGAATAAACTAGCCTATTACATATTATAATTAAGTTAACCTACATTGTTAATGGCGGAGAACGCAACTCAACATGCAATTTTAAAAAAGGAAAATAGTATTCTAAGAAAAACAAACAGTAGATTCATGTAGTGGAACAGGAGAAATTACAGAAAAACAGGAGAATCTCCTGTATAATCAGGAGACCTGGCACCCCAGGGGGCCATTCGCCTAACGAAAATGCTTTGGAAAACGCTAACGCTTTCGATTTTATTTTGTTATTTCTGACCGCCGGAGGTTTTCACATACTTTACGCTCATTTCTTTTAATATTGTTATTAACAATGCAAAAGAAAAAAAAAGAGCGCGAGGCATTTGATAACCTCAGGCGGCTAGAAATAACAAAATAAAATCGTAAGCGTTAGCGTTTTCCATAGCATTTCCGTTAGGCGAATGGCCCCCTGCTCGTATAGGCTTTTGTAGTAAATATTTGTCATCGAAGCCATTTTTGTTTGAACGTCACATTGCATCACGATTAAGCTAATCGGTATATCACATAGTAACATGGCTAGGTAAACTTTGGTCCGTCCGGCGGCCATCTTAGCAACACATAATGGTAGGCTTGTTGAAAATATATCGATATATCGATATTTTTTTTGTTCGATATATCGATTTTTTTTGCCGATATATTTTGATTCGATATATCGATACATTGATACAAAATAACCAATATCGAAATTCGTATCAAAACGATATTTTTTTAATTATTAGCGGCATATCACGATTTAACTAAATTCGTATTTGAAAAAATCGTAACTGGATCTCAGATTAATGATATTCAACATGTCTATGATCTGTGCTGCATTTAGTATTGTCTATGTCATCATTCGAAAATAGGGTCTATTTTTAGGGCGATAATTTTCGTTCCATCATTATTCCGCGTGTCATATTTCGTGAGCTACTATATTTTTGTACGATATTTTTGGGAAAATTGGTCCGATATATCGATGTTTTTTTCGCGGTATATAGAAGCCGATATTGTAATTTTTTTAAATATCGATGTCTCGATATATCGATATTTTTTTCAACTTTCGACATCCCTACATAATGGCGGCGTTTTGCTAGAAAAAAATGGCGGTTTTTTTTTTGGACGAGGTATATGTTGTATCTTAAGTAAGTACACATACATATGTATGATCAGTGGAAAGTTATCTGTGGGTGTCTAAATAGCATTTAAGTCTTGTATCATCGTATATATATTTTTAGAATGTCTTGTTTTGTATAAAAGTTTATCAGTAAGAAGTGTTTTATTATCTTACTCATAAATATTGACATTGCGTGTTGGTACCTACCTGATTTCTTTTTGCACGTTATTTTGGGTATTGATATCATTAATTTTTATGCGACTTGCCTAGCCGATCCATATCACATCTATATTCAGCGAACACTTATGTAAATATTGACTCTTAAATATCATTACTAAGTAAGTACTTATTGTAATCGAAAAATGAAAAAAACACTTGGCGCCACAAAACGGGACAGAATCGCATAACAAGTCCTCTGTTCTTTATGAAAAAGTTATTTTTAATATCAAAAAACATACTTTGCCTAAAGTTCATGGTAACTCGAGCTAAATCGGCTTATAATGTATTTTATCTGCCTACAATAATCCTCGTGTTTTGCGTCGTACGTTTCAACATTAACTACAACAACAATTAATAACTCCTTTTTCGATATTCATATTGAAATTTTTACTATAGAAGTATCCTCGTTGGTTACGACATCATTGCAGCCAAACACGCAGACATTCAAACGTACGAGCCATAAATGAATAAGGTCTTTATACTTTCACTTCAATTTGCCAAACTGGATAAAAGCTATTTGGCCATTGCCTAAAACACTATTATTAAACATCCGAACCCATAATTATGCTTTAGGTAACTCGATATTGCAAACAGATAAATAACATCTCTATGCGAATTAAAAAAATCTAAATTTGCTTGCTTGGGCTTGCAATTGCGGCCTTTTATGGGAGTGTCGTATTAGTGTATTTGAAAATAGATAAAAACGATACGGCTTTAACTGCTAATTCCATTATTCACAGTCCAATGTCCAATCCGAACAGGTATACTATTAAAAGCGGTGCCATAAGTATGTTTTCCACTCAAGTTCAAAACTCGTTTTTCCTTTGAATAATTTGTTACGGCTATATTGTTATCAAATGTTGCAGGTTTACCTACCTTGAAAAGGGGCCCCTCGTAAAGAAAAACCATTGTCTAATTTATTGGAAAATGCAGCAAATACTAATTTACCATACAATGTGTGATTTTTTGTTCTGCAACTGTCTTATATTAGGGTTACGAAATATTATCACGACACGACCTTAGCATACTATTGGAAATATCGATCTTGTACCCACTGGGCCTTCAACCCAAAAGCAAAAAGTGCCTATAGAACCTCATTTTACATCGCCCATATAATTTGACTAATATGACTTCTCTATCTTTTCAGGTCTGCGAGAAATTGGAGATAGGCGCCGAAGCGGACTACTTCGGCCTCCAGGTGTGTCCAGGATCAGGGCCCGGAAGATGGTTAAACTTGCGCAACCCCCTCGATCCCCACCGGATACCCGGAGGCAGGCTGGACTTGCGCGTCAAGTTCTGGGTGCCTCCCCACCTCTTAATAAACGAGCCAACCCGCCACCAATTCTACCTGCACGCCAAACTCGACCTCACCGAAGGAAGACTGGTAGTCGCCGACTTGGAAGTCGCCAGACGCATCATTGCTTACATCGCCCAAGCGGAAACGGGTGATTGCGACCCGGAAGACCCACCAACACAAATATACGAGGAGTGTGACAAAATCGGTCCTCAAGGCGAGAAGCCCGAAGATCACATAGCCAAAATCGTTGAATACCATTCCGAGATCGCGGGCATTCGAGCGTCTCAAGCCGAATATAGGCTTTTGAAGGAGATCTCGAATCTGGAGTCTTTTGGGGAGGAGCTGTTCTTCTGCAAGCCCGTGACGCAGTTGAACAACGCTCACAATTTGTATAGCCACTTGCTGTATCACACGCAGCAGACGGAAGAGCCGAGGGCTAGAGACGAGCAAGAGATCGATGGTGGAGCGACTGTTGGCTGTCTGGCGAGCGGCCAGAGCGGAGGCGGCTGTGGATGTCGTCTGAGCACCAGTGTCGGAGTGGGTCCTCATGGAATCGTGGTCTACAGGCCGGCGTGCAATGGAGAACAGGAGATTGGAGTTGAAAAACAGAGGTATGTAGTTTGTAACTTCTCTTTTTAGCATAAACGATCTGCTGTAAAGCGGGGGTTTTGGTTTTTTGTTTACCTGTGTACAGTATGTGATTTGCAGATTTTTTTTGAGGTCTTACGTCGCTCAGGAATCGGAAACTTGTACTGATGCACGGTAAATAGGAAATCTTATGAAATAGGACAATCATGGTAATACGTCTTAGATAATAAATAAATAAATATTTCCGACACTCACACCAATTAGCCTAGCCCCAAAGTAAGCACTATAAGGCTTGTGTTATGGGATGCTAGGGTAACGGATAGAATACATATACTGTACATATATAAGTATATTTATATAAATACATATTAAACATCCATGACTGGAGTACAAATGCTCGTATTCATCACACAAACATCTGCCCCCACCGGGATTCGAACCCGGGACCTCTCGAGTCGGCGACAGCCATGAAACCCGGCGTACAAACCACTCGGCCACGGAGGTCGTCAGACATAGCGACATTTTGCCGTGCATAATAATCTCATGTCTAAAATGGCAACTTGGTCGGATTTACGTTGGCGAAACTTTTAAAACCACATTTACGCCAAGGACGTTTCACGCCAATGTAAACCGTGTTTTTATTTATTTATAGAGATACGATACTCAACCGTAAATAATTTTTTCAAGATTACATACTTAATTGTTTATTAAATATGTAATCTTGAAAAGTTTTCGTAAACAAAAATGGGGGAAAAAAACATTGAAATTATTACTTATCGAGAAACAATGGAATTTATCGTGTCCACTTGCTGCGTAGTAAAAGTAAGATATCTTTTGTTTACAATAACAAACAACACACACCAATCCACGCTTTAACCTGAATAATAATTAATAAAGTATCGTAATAACCGTGTCATCTTTGTCTCTGACCTGAAAACTGAACACACACATTAAACCTTATGTCCTCGCGATAAGATCTAAGATAATTCAAATAAGCACACCTGCGCGGCAAGGCTGAAGTTTAGCGCGCAGTTTTGTATTTATAGAACATTTCACTTAATATAAATAATTCAACACAGCCCAGGTATTAATAAAAATCAACAGTGCAGTAGGTAGGGATTATCTATGGAGTTTCATATAAAAGATACTAAACGGCTCGAGTTATAATACTTTCCGAGTATTCGTAGCAGAACGAATACTGGCTGCTTCTACAGACATAGCGATATTTTGCCGTGAACTCACAGAAAATATGTTAGAAGCATAGGTATTCTGTAAGATGCAATCTGACTTAGCATCTCATCAATTCGGTATTCTGACAAATATCTAATGCTGGCTGTAGAAGCAACTAGGGCGATTCTGTAAAAGAAAATCTCATTTCCGATTTCGGTACTTTGCCACTTTAGACATAAGATTATCATGCACTACGCTATTACACGGCAATATGTCGCTATGTCTGTACTGACAAACTGTGTCTATTTAGTTGGCTGTAGAAGCAGCCAGTATTTGATATTTGTCAGAATACCGAATAAATGCGATCCTAAGTGATATTGCATCTTACAGAATACCTATGCTTATAACATATTTTCTGTGAGTTCACGGCAAAATATCGCTGTCTGTAGAAGCAGCCAGTATTCAGTAATTAGAATAAAATGAAAAAAAAACATAGTTAAACGAAATAACAGCAACTTTTGACATGCCTGTAATATTCACCCTATACTACATTATTCATAATAATTTTCGCGACAAAAGTACGCAAGTATTCTTATCCAAAGTTCCCTATTTTACTATAGTGAAATGTATTAAATAACAGCTAAACCACTAACTTCAATAAGATTGTTTTCTCAAAATTTCGCAAAATGATTTAAACTCTGCAAACAGCATACAAAGACAAGAATATTTTTTATTTGCAATTTTAATTTGCATGTTTTCATCACGTGGTGTTCTAATTAAACTCTTCATTTTATCTAAATTTTAATTTGTACAGATTAACTGTTTGCATTGATAAGATAATGTGACGAATAATTATGAACGCGCTAATTGCAAAACATCTTCGCAAATAACACAACGAAACCTGCAGTGGTCTAATTATCACCCGGATGTTGACCGCGCAAATATTATCTTTTCACTAGATAAGATATATAAATAACTTTTAGTCACCAACTCTGGAAGTTACCGTTTAACTCTAACAGAAGATCACAGCAAAATAACACTAGCTAATGAGACCAACAATAGTAAGAACCTTTTCCGCCTTATTCCAAAACGTGAACTAAAGCCAGAAACATATTAATGTGTCGTGTCGTGTCGTGGCGCGCCAGAAGCACATCGGTTTCATACATTTACTATGGTTAGAGACATATTTACGTTTCGTGTCGTGTCGGCGCTTTAACCTCTATCTCTCTCTAACCCTTAATAAATGTATGAAACCGATGCGCCACGTCACGCCACGGCACGTTAATATATTTCTGGCTTAAGTGTCGCCGCACACGGGCCACACGCCACAGCCACAAACGCCTTCACGAGAAGCTAGAAGCCGCTACTAAAGTGGTTGAGGCGCGCGACAGCGGCCGACTAAGGTAAGGGAGAGAGGGGTGAAGAATCGCGCGAGTGACGTGTGGCGGCGTTTTGTATCGGCGCATTTAGTGGCCGGTACGGGCCACAAGAAGCGAGCAACGGCGATTTGTAGCGTGTGGCGGCCACCGGCGTACCGTGTGTGGCGAGTCCATATAAAATGTATGAAAACTACAAGAACTATGCCGGTGGCGGCGTTTTATGGTTGTAGTCGGTGGCCCGTGTGTCACATCTGTAAATAGAAGTTTTGCCTGCTTAAAACAAAAATAAAAAAGGGAAAAATAGCTGGTTTTGTATAACAAAATCTACTTTCTTATCAGTAACTTACATATATAAGTACCTATGTTTTTCTGTTTAAAATATCTAAATTAGCCAGTATTTATGCGGATACGATTATCAGATCTGAGCATCGACTAATGCGGATCCCGGACACGATAACGATTTGAATAATACCCCGATGCATGAGCTGATATCACTATATATCAATAATTATCACTGATTGCCGCTTCTTTTAAGTACAACAAGTGTTTTACAGTTAATATACACATATTATAAGCAGGGCTTGTTTACCGGTTAATTTTCAAACCTAAATCAGTGTCAAGTACATTAGGAGCGTTTTATTTAGGTTTGGCTCTACCTTAACCTTAAAAAAACCGGTTTTCCTTTTCGAAACCGGTTACAAGCTCTGATTATAAGTATTGTACGAATGAACTGGAACCTCATACTCACCAATAGAAAATAACTATTATGTTTAATTTTATAACGACCTCCGTGGCTGAGTGGTTTGTACGCCAGGTTTCATGGTGTCACTTACTCGAGAGGTCCCGGGTTCGAATCCCGGTGGGGCCAGATGTTTTTTGCATGATAAATACGAGCATTTGTACTCCAGTCATGGATGTTTCATTTAGATTTCTATATAAATATACTTATACATATGTAGCAGTATATGTATTCTATCCGTTACTCTAGTATCCTATATGACAAGGCTTAAAGTGCTTATTTTGGGGTTAGGCTAATTGGTGTGAGTGTTGGAAATATTTATTGGTAACAAATAGTCTGAGTTTGTTTGTTTTCGAGTAGGTAAACGCGGAAAGACACAATGTTTAATACACGTGAAAATTTAAAAAAAAAAAAAAAAATACACGTGAAATAATTTATTGTTACACAATAAGGTACGGACCAAGAGTCTGTAGACTAAGAAAAAATATAAAAAAAAAAATAGAATCACAATACCACCTTAGACTGTGACCACCTTGTCCCCGATACGTAGCAAAAACGTTTTAACAAAATTACAGGGAAAAAACGACCTAATTTTTTGCGAAAAAATTAACTGAATTCTAAGCCTATATTGTTGCGTGTTACTCTTATTTAACTAGTCAAAGAGGACTTCAGGAGTTCCATGGCGCAAGTGGTTAGCGCGTTCGGCTGCGATCGTTGAAGTTAAGCAACATTCGCAGTGGTCGGTCATTGGATGGGTGACCAAAAATGTTCTATCTCGATTTCGAAAGGAACGTTAAGCCGTTGGTCCCGACTGCATCTGCAGTCGTTAGCATCCACCAATCCGCTCCGAGCCCGCTTGGTGGGTCATGGCCCAATCTCCCTATTCCATTCATGAGGAAAGCCTGTGACCCTGCATTGAGAACTTTAATAGGCTGATGATAACTTGATGATACAACACCAAGTTTTATATTGTTTTAAACTTTCATGGTCACTAACATTATAGCTATTAACGGGATTGTTACCATGTACCTTGATTTTAATGAGTCTCCGATATTTCGGTACCGTTGCAAGCGCCATGATCACGGAGTAACTGAAGTAATTGCGGGTAGATGTAAATGGCAGACATATCGGTCTACCCTCTGACGTCGTCTTTTACTGCGCTCGATACCCCTACCACTGGTCACATTCTCACTATTCACTCGCACTTGTTCCCAACGTACAGTTTGTACAGTCTTGCAACAGCGCAGAAATATCAGAGACTCATAAAAAACAAGGTACATGGTAACGATCCCGTTAATAGCTATAACACCAGTATATGCTCAACCATGGTCAGCAATGAACTCCCTCTAACATTATTCAAAAGGAAATTGTTTAAATTCCTATTAAGAAAGTGCTTTTACTTAGTCAAGGAATTACTAAAAATGGTGATTTAATTTAATTGACATTCTTTGACATTCATACTAATTGATTTATATCTTTATTTGACTTATTATTAATATGTATTATCATTTTTCGTATATAATGTTTGTTTATTGATCTTTTCATGTGACCGATTTTAATTCATATACATAAATAAAACTAGTTTTTACGGGTTAATGCACGAAACTTTATTTATTTATTGACGTTTCGTAGCCTTTACCGGCTTCGTCGTCAGAATGCGGTCGTAGCCGTTATAGGCTTCGTCGTCAGAATGCGCTTTGTCTTCAGACCTTCAGCCTGTAAAGGCTACGAAACGTCAATAAATAAATAAAGTTTCGTGCATTAACCCGTAAAAACTAGTTTTATTTAATGAGTGATGTGCGTGAAAATCTAAGAAACAAATATTCATATACATAAATTAATAAAGTAAAAATGGTACCTATCTAATTTTAAAACTCTATCCAAATATTGTATTAATTACCATTTAATTATATTGCATGTAATGAAAATAAAATAAAAGAAATGGATAATCACATGCCAGATTGAGGTAAAATAGATGAACTGTGTTATATTATATTTAAGAATTTATTGTACTCTATTTTTGGTGATTTAATTAAAATTCAATTCAATTCAAGTATTTCATATCCGTTTCCAGCATCAAGTACACAGTGATCCATCGCGCGCAGCCTTTGCGTCGCATCTTCCAGCTGTCGTACGTGACGGCGGAAGGTCACGAGGCGACGTTGCACGTCAAGATGGCGACCTCCGGACAAGCGGCCGCACTCTACCGCGCCGTCACCGAGAAACACGCCTTCTACTGCTGCGAGACTGTACGCAGCGATGTCACCGAGCAGTTCATCAGGGATTTGAAGGTCAGTTGCAAACCTCCTATTGCTTCAATCGTTTGTTTCAGACAGCTGGGAAGTTAAAGAAGATTAATTTCGTTATCCAATCGTTATGATGTCATCAAACAGCAGTTCATCAGGGATCTGATGGTATGTTGCTACAATCATTTGTTTTAGCCACCTGGAGGCCATTCGCCTAACGGAAGTGCTATTGAAAACCTTCGGTGGTCAGAAATAACAAAATAAAATCGAAAGCGTTAGCGTTTTACAAAGCATTTCCGTTAGGCGAATGGTCCCCTGGAGCGACCAGCTAAAGATCTTGCCCATAACGAAAGACTGCTGCTGAATTTAGTTTTTCGGATGTTGTCGTGCAAAGTTCCACAGTTCATCAGGGATTTCTGTCAGTTGGTACGTAACCTACTTGTCCTAAAATAATTTGTTTTTAGACACCCTTAAGAAAATTTGATAGCTGGAGGCCCCCGCTAAAGGTTATTCTGACTTTGTCGCGTCGAGGTCTTGCAGGGAACAAGGTTACCAGAGTTTCAAGTAGGGTCTTAAAATTCACTGTCCATGACTACAATAATTTGTTTTAGACAGCCGGAGCTTTAAGGATTCTACATAGAACATAAGACTGCTGCTAGATGACGTTTTAAAATCGTGATACATGATAAATTTTTACAGGGAGAAAGCTTACTAAAGTTCTGGCTAGGAATTTTGTTAACCTAAGTCTAATCATATGTATCATCGAACTTGGTTTGCATGTCACTTAACAGTAAATCTAATAAATCAGAAAATAAGATAATAATAATAAAGTAAGTAATAGGTATCGACCACAGCCTCTCGCTAGATGGTTGGGTCAAGGGGTAGATGCAAAAGGCAGTACTCCTGGACACAGCGCGCATCGTCAGGGGGTTTCTCTCTCTGCAGCCCTAACCATCGGTAGCTTGGACCTAGTCTCGCTGCTGGTGGCCTTCTAGGTTAGGTTTTTTATATGATACTAGCTGACCCAGCGAACTTCGTACCGCCATAAAAAATAGGGGTTGGTGGTAGAATGTTGAAAATTTAGGGATGTATGTATTTTTGTATGATGTATCATAAAAAAAATAAAAAAATATATCTACCCTAAACATTTAGGGGGATGAAAAATAGATGTTGTCCGATTCTCAGATCTACCCAATATACACACAAAATTTCATGAGAATCGGGAAAGTCGTTTCGGAGGAGTTTAACCACAAACACCGGGACACTAGAATTTTAAATATTAGATTTATTTTTGTATTTACGTTTTTGTACAACTTTCATAACTATTTTATAAAAAAAAACAAACTGTTAATAAATTAAATAAATGAGATAATAATAATCTAATAATCAAAATCAGTAATCTAGTAAATTGCCTAGTCTTTTACAGAAAATCATGTGTGCCTGATATTTTAGTTTCTGAAAACTATTATTCATTGTAAGTCTACTCGTAAAACTTCGTCATCGCCTTACAAGTCTTAACCAATGGTTATGTTGAAATTAAACCGAAACCTTTATTTGTTATGCGTGTTACTAAAAGCAGTATCGAATAATAATAGTTGCGTGTTTTTCTATTTTCTTGTACTTTGTACTGAAGGAGATAATATCGTAAGGATTTGTAGATTGTTATTTTTTTAAGATACCTAATCATATTATGAATCAACTAAAAACATTGTAATTATTGATTAGGAACGGAGATTCACAGAAAGCACTGACATTGCACTTTAAACTATAATTAAGATAACTGTAGACACGATACTTATCGGATTTGTTTATGCGTAATTCGAAAAACAATAAAATAGTTATCATTTCTATTATTTTAAAGCATGTAAGTGCTTGATGTTTAAATCTAAAGAATATATAACTAAAAAAAAAAACCACGCGGACGAGACAGCAGACGGGACTCGAACCCGCACCCTTCGCAATCCGGGCGAATGCACTGACCAATTATGCTACCGCGGCCTTCACGGACCGCGTCGAAATTCTTCTAGCCATTCTTAAGCTGCAAGGCAGCGCCATCTCTTCGCGTTTTAGGTAACCCACAATGTCAAATGAATACTTTTACAAGTATTAAACATTTGAAAGAAGAAATAGCAATAATCAGTGCATTCGCCCGGATTGCGAAGGTTGCTCGTTCGATTCCTGTCTGCTGCCTGGTCCGCGTGGAATTTTTCTAGTTATATTTTCTTTAGATTTAAACAATAAAAAAGTATAGATACCTACCTACTTATTTTAATTAATGCAAAAACAACTAGGTACCTTCTTAAACATGTACCAGAATATACGAACAAAGCCTTACCTATCGTTTGCAACAAACCTGTTGATTATATTACAATAATACGTTTTTTCCCGTTTGACATAAAATCTTGCAATACTATAATACTAGGGACATAAGTAGGTAGATTTAATATAATGCGATTAACCTAAAAATAGGACCGACTGGACGCCATATTGTGACGTCATAGCTGTCAATTCGAACGAAATAGGTAGAGTAAGCAAAACAAAAATTTATTTAATAAAATTTACTTAGTTTGAGAAAAGAAAACAATTGATTTATTAAAACTGTGAGAAAAAACATTAGAATAACAAACATTCTTAACCAAAGCTCAATATATGAAAAAAATATCAACTAATATTATTTAACAATATTTGTTATTGTTTGCTTACAAATGTTCGGTTTTTATTCTAGAATAGCTGAGTGCTAAGAAAGGGTTTTCAAGATTTTTTTGCAAACATTGGCTTTCCTATTCTTATTTGAATCGCATAATATCTAACAACGAAATTGATAATCAAATTAAAATCCAATTCAAACATGTCCATTTGGTGTCGAGAATTTTATCTTCGTATAACCATTAGCAACTAATACTTTAAATAACGTCAACCATCTTTTGTTTCACTTTTATCTCTGTCACTATGTGTCGCACATTGTGCGTTATCTAAGTACTGTTTTTAAGCACAATTTATGTACAATCGGCTTACAGATAAGCAGGTATTAATGTCGTCATCATTGACAGCTTAACGTGGCATAGTTTATAAGAAAACGGTGTTATCCTAAAAATTGTTAATTATTTTTTTTGTGAAATTAGGTTATTTTAAAACCTGACACGCATTTCTTATTTTATCCTTTTATGAGCTTGGTTACTATGTTGTAAGATACAAATAAGCAGGAGAATGTTTAACATAATACTTCTTTTTATATGGGTACAACTGGTATCTGGTTTTTGGTGTCATCTTTCAATTGACGACACTGTATGAAACAAAACAGGGAGAAAAAATAGCCCTTGCTGAGTTTCTTGCCGGTTCTTCTCAGTACAAGGTCTCCCGCCGTAGATTTACGAACCGACGGCGTAGCCTTTGACTTTTACAAGAGCTTGTGACAGCCTAGACTGAATAAATGTGTTTGAGTTTGACTGAAGAATTTTGTTTAGAAAATACCTCAAACAGGTACCTTGTTAACATCAGCTGTAACATATATATTTTTGCAAAAGTCCTACTTAAGAAGCGGTTAGATTCACTTTTGAATTTCTTACCTATTCATTCGTACTAATTCTTATAGATATTTTATTTTCCAATCGTAGCAATATAAAACGCATGCACAACTTAATTAATGATGATTATTCATATTTTTAAATAGGTAAATGAACTAGATATTGGATTGTGAAATTCAGCTAGATATTGTTTACGAAATAAAAGTTATATTATTTTAATGTTACGCTAAGCATAAAGATTTTTTTTCTTTATTTAGCATATTTGACTGTTACTATAAGTAGCTTATTAGAAATATATTATGGTAGAAAGATGTTTTTTTTTTTTTTTTTTTTTTTTTTTTTTTTTTTTTTTTTTTTTTTTTTTTTTTTTTTTTATTTTTTTATTATCTTAAAATAATTTGCCTTAGTATATAAATAATAATAATAAATAAATATTTCCGACACTCACACCAATTAGCCTAGCCCCAAAGTAAGCACTATAAGGCTTGTGTTATGGGATGCTAGGGTAACGGATAGTTCGCCCGGTCCACTCGTTGGGCCGGGCCAGCCCTAGGACGCTCTGGTGTAGTGGCGCACGTAGGTGCACCGATCCCAGAGCGCCCTCATAAGGGCCGAGGAGGGTACCGGTGGTTTTTAGTGGGTAGGACCGGCGTTGTTCCACGCCGGGGAGTCCCACACACGTCGCGCGCCTGGCAAGCGCGCGGTATGGTGCGTAAATGCATTTTCCACCGTCAACAAAAAAAAAAAAAAAAAAAAAAAAAAAAAAAAAAAAAAAAAAAAGGGTAACGGATAGAATACATATACTGTACATATATAAGTATATTTATATAAATACATATTAAACATCCATGACTGGAGTACCAATGCTCGTATTCATCACACAAACATCTGCCCCCACCGGGATTCGAACCCGGGCCCTCTCGAGTCGGCGACAGCCATGAAACCCGGCGTACAAACCACTCGGCCACGGAGGTCGTCAAAATTTTACATAAGAGATGTTGGGGTACAGACAGAAGATCATCTAGGCAAACCTTCACTTTTGCCAATTACAAAATTACAACACGTGTAGCTTGTTTATTACGAGTCTTAACACATATTTATCCGTTAGCTCCAGTATTCAATAACCAAATCCCCATACCCCCTTGTTTAAAAACTAAAGCTAGTCTTGGCTTAAACCTAATGTTCGTTTTCATAAACAAAATTGACAGCATCAGTTTTCGTCCAGGTTTAACTTTAGTCTGATCATCATCAGCCTATAAACGTCCCCACTGCTGGTGCACAGGCCATCCCTATGAATGGAATAGGGCGATTGGGCCATGACCCACTACGCGGGCCCAGTGCGGATTGGTGGGTGCTAACGACTGCAGATGCAGCCGGGAACAACTGCTTAACGTGCTTCCGAAGCACGGAGGAACTCGACATAGTAGATTTTTGGTCACCCATCCAATGACCGACCACTGCGAAAGTTGCTTAACATCAACAATTAGCAACTCCTTTACTAACTTTAGTCTATTTTTGTTATATAAAGCAGATAGTGTTGCTTTAATACTAGGCTGATTGCTTAGAGTGTTATAACTATTTATTCATCCATATCGTTTTGTCCCTACAGGGTACGATAGCATCCATCTTCAACGACTCTACGACCCTTGGCCGTCGTTACGTTTTCGATATACGCCGCACTTGTCGCGAGGTGCACGATCGTGCGAGACGGGACCGGCACTCCAGAGCTCCGAAGCCCCACGGGCAGGAAGTGAAGGTATATATATATATATATATATACTAGCAAACCAGTGAACCAAATGTTCACCAAAACCAGATTTAAAAAAAAATGTATTTAATTAATTGAGAACTTCGGAGATTTTGTGTGGTTTCGTTTGAAATTCGTGATTTCTCGAAAACCGGAAGTGCTACGTTACTCAAATCCGGTTTGTAGTCTTATCAGACTATTCTTAACTTATAACTTAAATATTCTCTTTATCTATGTCTTACGGTTTGGCCGCTGAAACAGCACCACAGACGGACGGACGGACTTTTCTAATAGATAAGAGATACTAGCTGACCCAGCGAACTTCGTTCCTCCATAGAAAAATAGGGGTTGGTGGTAGAAAGTTCAAAATTTAGGGATGTATGTATTTTTGTATAATGTACCATAAAAAAAAATATATATAAAATTGAAAAAAATAATTTAGGGGTGGATTACCCTTAACATTTAGGGGGATGAAAAATAGATTACATCCGATTTTCAGACCTACTGAATATGCATATGAAATTTCACGAAAATCGGTCGAGCCGTTTCGGAGGAGTTTAACCACAAACACCGCGACACGAGAATTTTATATATTAGATACTCACAAATCACTACACCAAACTACACCACACAAGTCTAGTTATACTGAGACCGACGTAAATATGCACACGACCGAGGAGTTAAAATTACAAAAAACACTAAACAACACTAAACACTACACTGCACTCTACAACACACCCACAAATCACTTCACCATACTACACTTCACTACACTACTGTACATACACTGAGGCTTTAAATATGCGCACGACTGGGTAGTCAAAACACACACACTACACTACAGTTCACAACACACCCACAAATTACCACACCATACTACACTATACTGGTACTACTAAAACTAAGACCGTAATGCGCACGACCGAGTAATCAAAACACACACACTTTACTACACTCTACAACACACCTACAAATCACTACACTACACTACTTACACTGAGATCGTAAATATACACACGACTGAGTTAGCAAATGTGAGTGTGTGACACAGTCACACACTCACATTTGCGCGAACGAATGGTTATTAAGTACCATTTTACTACTTGCACTGTGTGAAATGAAATGAAATGTCATTTATTCAGTCTAGGCTGTTACAAGCACTTGTGAAGGTCAAGAAGCTACGCCATCGTCGTAAGTGTCGTCTGTCCTTTTCATTCCTTGTAAAGAATGATAAGGACAGACTGATTTCAAGTTTAGAGGATTTGTTTAGAGTGTGCCATGAATCCTTTGGATCTATATTGATGACTAATTTCATACTTTAATTGTCCCATAGGGTGTCCGAAGCAGATCTCTCAGCAACGGTGGCGGTGAGTCATCGCTGGCTTGCCGCGTGTGTATGGACAACGGAATGGACACATTGTTCCTGCCTTGTAGACATGTCATCTGCTGCCAGGAGTGTGCTAATAGGTAATTTTAATAATCTTAATATAATATACTAGGGGGCGTCCATAAATTGCGTAAGCTGTTTTTTTGGATTTTCTGTCCCTCTCTCCCCCCCCTGGTGAGATGTCGTGAGATTTTATTCAACCCCCTCCTCCGTCCCCCAATCTCACGTGAGGTTTTTCAAAATGAGGGTTTCTTTCATAAACGCATTGGATTGTTATTGTAAAAAGAAAAAAAAATGCTTCGTGCTTTTATTTACGACTAGTTAAGACTAGTAATCAATATTGCTGAGAGTTATAAGTGTAATAAAAATTTAACAATAGAATACTACTGTGAAATAAAAATGGGTGCGTGTACTTATGTAGGCGCGTGAGAAGTTATCCTTCTTTGGCATCGTTTAAAATTAGTTTTTAATTGCATGCAAATAATTAATTACAATAAATTAATAAAAAGTCTGGAAAAGGACGCAGTCAATAAAGTTCAGTTTTAATTTGAAAAAATAAATAAATAATCAAAATATTCAATTAAAATCGCTACTGAATATAATTTATTAGAACATAATGTGATTTGCACTTGTATGAAACTCAAACACGTATTCCGAATATACAAACTAGAAACATGTGGATAAATATTATAAATATGAATACCTATAACTGTTACTTTATTACAAAAAATAAAGATGTGGTTTTTGGTTCTACTACACCAATGGTCAAGAGATGGCGCTGCAGTCTCCTGAATCGCGCTTTGCAACTTCATGCTGTTAATATTTTGTGTTACAGTGATGCGCGCGCATCTTAAAATTTCACTCTCATCATTTTTTCATAACGCGCCTAAAGAAGTATAACTTCAAAAATTGCGTGATATTTGCCGAGACCCCCCCTCTCTCCGACGTAAGATTAGATGAGATTTGATTCGACCCCCTCCCCTTAAACATCTCACGTAATTTATGGACGCCCCCCTAGCTGTCCCAGCGAACTTCGTACCGCCATAAAAAAATAGGGGTTGGTAGAAGCGTAAAATTTAGGGCTGTATGTATTTTTGTATGATGTATCAAAAAAAAAACGAAAATAAAAATCCCATAGTATAATAGAACATTTCTCAGTAAGAAATCTAGTTGGGAATGACAGTCCATCGAGGGCGCCACTGTCTACGATCATGACATACAAAATATGACGTTTACAAAGATGGCGGCGTTAGTTTAAATTTCGCCACATTCATGAAGATCCTTGTCGCACTATTTACACTGCATTTAACAGTTACACTGCTCTGCACTCACTGGTTTGATTCAGTATGACACCGGAGTGATTGAATAGAAAATTGGGTCATTTTTAAGTGAGGTATCTGAGTGTAAAGAATGGGTTTTCTGTAAATCCCTGAGTGCAAAAAGTTTAAGTAAAACTGGTGTAGATCATTATTACCAAAACGTGGAACAAAAAGATTGGGCCATGACCCACCACACAGGCCCAGTGCGGATTGGTGGGTGCTAACAACTGCAGATACAGCTGGCACGGAGATCAAAATAAAAGAAAAATTTTTGGTCACCCATCCTATGACCGGCCAGTGCAACAATTGCTTTACATTACACTATTGGTGTCGAATCTGACATGATTCTGTACACTTTTTTATCATCATCACATCTCATTCTGTATAGAGAAATACAAGGATACACTGTTTCAATTTAAGTTTAGGTTTAGAGAATCGTGCCAGAATCGACACCAGTAATATAACTAATAGGCTAGTTGACTCATGTCAAATTGCACTATACAAATGTTTATTTCTTATAATTTTTGGTATGAGGAACCTAAATACATCGATTTCACTTCATAAAATTAGAAGATGCCTGTAGTAATTTAATTTGAAAAATAGTTTTTTAATCTATGCTTTTTAAACACTAAAAACGCTGTCCACCATGATTGTGACGTCAACTTAATAGCAAAACAACTAAACGTCATTGTCGTGTTACTGTGGTTTCTTTCGTCCGACTAAAATATATCTAAAAAGTCTTATATATTGAAGAAAAGTTTCCGTTTATTGGTTTTCTTGACTAAATTAATGCTGGACGCCGGATTTGTGAAAGCAGAAACGACAAAACTGTTTGACTTAGCAGGTACATTCATAACCCTAAAAATTTGAACCACAACATTTCTGGAGTTTTTAACGATGTGTTTCTTTATTCTCGTATTATACAATCATGATAATTACTATATTTATAATGAAATCTATTAGAAATCATGGTTTTGTAATGTTAATTCAGATAGGTTATACCAGTGTTTGTTTGCGAGTGTTTGTTTACTATTGTTCCCGTCATACCATAGATAATCTATAGACTAAAATGGCCGACAGCATTTTTGTATGTCCATGAAATATCTATTTTAAAATTAAAGTTTTGTAGCTTTCTAGGTAAAAAAAATTACAATACATTTTTTTCGGTCTAATTATTTACCATTTGAAACATATTGTGTCAACTAGCCTATTCCTAAAATTTGCCCATACTATATTTCACCGCTAATATTGTTAATAATATTGTTTTCTATTCATTGTTGCAGATGCGATAAGTGCCCACTATGCAGGGGTCTCATAGAAAAATCCATGCACATATTCCTCCCGGTGGAATACCAAAAATCACCGGGCATTATAATCAAATGAACCGGATTCGCCGAATGAACGTTGATGGCCCAAACTGACCGCGGTTCCCGACCTGTGTGAATAGACCCTTCTTGTGCCGTTCGCGCCATGTTGGCTGCATGCGATGGATGTCGTTAGTGTTGCCAGCCCATATAATATAGTATCCTACTATATTAGGTGATCAAATACTATATTTCTAATAAAGTATATATAGTAGGCGAAACTACTATATTTTGCTTAAAGCAGATTTATGCCAGTAAAAAAGTGTTCTTAAAAATAAGAATAACAATTATTAAGGCATGGAAGAGCCAAAATATTCATTTTAAAAATTAAAAAAAAAGTAGATATTTTAACCACATACTATATTTTTTTCATCTTTTTGGAATCTACTATATTTTTAGAGGTAACAGCTTCCAAAATACTATATTTGATAGAAAGTTGGATAAAAGTTGGTAAACCTAGATGTCGTGGAAATGAAAAAAAAACACTTGTTGTCTGTGTTAGTGATGATGACGTAATCAGCGACAATAATTTTGGTTGTCTCGTCGACTTGTAGTGAAATAAATGAAAATTTTTGATTGTGGTGACGGCAAATTTCTTGAGCAAAACTTGAAGCAAAGAAATTTACGCAGTGCACATTTTTATGTGTAAAATTGGTACTGCGCAAACTTTCTTGTCTATGGTCGTTGCTCAAAAAATTTTCCGGGATGTCATATTAAACGATAAGTGCCCTTAAAAAGACCGACTGTAAGATTGTGTGTGTGAATGTCTAGTCAACATTGTGACTCTTTATAATTATTACTTATGTAACATGCATTTTCTCTTATGTTATTTTGGGAAACTTCAATCTAATTTTCATTCCAAGATAAAACTAATGGAAAGTTACACCTGTACCTATAATATGTTGCGATAACTGCCTTTGATTTAATGAATTCGATTTGTCTGTAGAAATAATATCACTTTATAATAATAATTAATCCTTTCGTTATAGAAAGGTGTATTTTGTACTAATGAATACATTTTTGTGATAGAATTTAAAGAGTGGTTAAAATAAAAAGTATTTTTTAATCAATCATTCAATCTTCAATTTTTTCAAGCAAATTTTGCATTTTGTTAAGACTTTAACGGAAAACAATTTTTGTTTTTGTTTTTATTTCTTTTCTTTAACATTACGGTATAATTTATTTATAAGATTTAATTGTAAGACCTATGGTCTATAAGTTGGCAAATTTTAACATTATATTTAAAAAAAAGAATAAAGAGAATAAAACAATAATTACGTTATACCTACAGCTCTGTTGTTTTATTTATAGCAGTTTAGAAAATCATGTCAAATTTAGACCCAATTCTTAATTTATATTACTTAATCATGATGACACAGATTGAAAAAGGTGCTACATGCTCATAGCATTTTTTTGGTAATTGAAGGTTTAGAAAAAAAATATTGTTCCGACCCCGGGCCTACTGCCTACCGGTATTGCTATGTCAATAGCCATGGGAACCGACAGGATACGGTGGTGGTGTGTCGCAGAATTTCGGTCGCAGAAATTCTGCTGCATTCGGTTTCATACAAAAAGGCAGTTGGTGCCACACGACAACGCAAAATGAGTTGTCTGCTGACTCAATGCGCATAAGCTCGTCCGAATTTCGGTCGGGGTGAGGGTAGGGCAAGGAAGGGGAGTGGGGAAGCAACAGTTTGTTACAAGTTGCGTGGTGTAATAATTCTTGAAAAACACGTAATGGCATATGATAGTACTTTTCAAACATATCTGGATTTGCACATAAACGTTTATATAAAGTATGGAACTGTCCACATATCAAACCTCTGACTATTCAGTGGGTTTACCCAGTTTCTTTTTCTGGCCTCATCTTCTGAATATGCTTCGTAAATACAGAATATTTTTAATGGATCCATTGCACTCGACGACACGAACACCCCGTACTAACGCTTAATAGTAACTGAATAAATTACGTTCGTATGGCAGCTCAACAGAAATTCAGTTGAACGTAAAATAAGTGACCGAAAATAAGCGACTCACAACTCACAAAATTACGCTCGTTTGGCTTCAACCTTATAGCGTCACCGGAGATAGGGACGGCTCAACTAGAGGACGTTTTGAGACTCGGACCACAGCTCTAGTTAGCCGTTGTCGCGGGGTAAAGTACTTATGTGGATAAATACTATGTCAAATCAGCGGCGTATCGTGGGTGTCAGCCGCCCGGGGTGAAAGACTTTTTTTTAGAAAGAATTTTGCCGCCCTCTTATTTAAATAGTTGAAATATTTTTATTATTTATTGGTAAATTTTGCCGCCTCCTAAGAAGTGCCGCCCCTGCCGCCCCCACTACGCTACGCTACTGTGTCAAATAGGTATATCAAAGATGTCATATTTTAATATGTTTTTAGAATTTTATTACTTTAATAACCATTTAATATATACAGGAACAATGAACCTTAAACTAAAAACCTTAAAAAATATAATATATTAGGTAACTAAAATATATTACTAAAAGGAGTCCCTTTAGGCAAGGTTCCAAAGATACTGGCAGCGTTCCCCCTTTGAATAGCTAGACTAATTCTTTGTCCGAGGTAGCTGCCAGCGGTCTCCAGTGATGTCGACTAACCTTTTGGATATTTCCTTTAAAAACCTATACATATGTTTAACATATGTTTTTTGTATATATTTAAATGCTTAATTTTTTATGCCTCTCTTGACGAGGTCCATGTTAGTAGGTACTGAAGAAACACCGTGGAGGGGAATTCATTCCATAATTTTACTGTCGTGGAATAAAGGATTTATGGGAACAGTTGTGCACTTTACGTGTTCCCAGGTAAAGCCAGAAACATATTAACGTGTCGTGGCGTGACGTGGCGCATCGGTTTCATACATTTATTATGGGTTAGAGAGAGATAGAGAGGTTAAGGCGTCGACACGACACGATACATAAATATGTCTCTAACCATAGTAAATGGTTCTCTAAATTGGTTGCTTAAGATAATTAGCCTGTAGAATATTCATAGGCAACCAAAGTACCTTCTCAGATCTAAAGACTCCAACTTCTTTCTGCTACTCTAAGATTTATCGACAAATCAAAACGGGCGATTTTGTATAGAATCCAGGTTATCCAACTGGTATTTTGGGGCTCCAGCCTAAAGATATAAGCAGTACTCCACGTGGGGCATTGTTAGCGCTTTGTAAAGCTTCTGCCTTACTTAGCCTTTGCTTAGCCGTGAAGTACTGAAGTAGTCGGTTGGATATCCCAAGCCCCTCTGGTAGCCCGTAAGGTGACAACTTTGATAAAACCGTTATATGTCAGACCAGACTCTGTTAAACGCCTGTGCGATATCCAGACTCACTGCAAGGGCCTGACCCTTACTCTCGACGGTTTCATCCCAACATTGAGTAAGATAAACGAGAAGTTCAACAGCTGAACGAGAGTGACGGAAACCGTTTTGTCAGTCGTTAATTAGCAGAGGAGGAGGAGAGTTAATGAGGAGCTCGATGGCGCAAGTGGTTAGCGCGTTCGGCTGCGATCGTTGAAGTTAAGCAACTTTCGCAGTGGTCGGTCATTGGATGGGTGACCAAAAATTTACTATCTCGAGCTCCTCCATGATTTAAGTTTCGTGGTTTCATAAAACCATACAATATTATAAAAAAGAAGTTTGATTAGATTGGGCGCACAAATACGGCTTCCTGATCCGGAATTCCGTGAGCCTAGGGCAGATATTTCGATTTTTTATTAGTTAGAATCGGGACCGAATGTTCAGTTGTTTTATGTTTATTTTGAAAACACAGAAACACAGTGTGTGCCTCGGTGAACATTTTGTATGTAAGGACGCACGTCCTTGATTCCTTGATTCCAGGCATTCCAGGATTCCTGATCAGGAGAACGAATCAGGAAATCGTACATCTGCATCTAGGCTTAAAGTAGCTTCCTCGGCGATAACAGTAGAATGAGATAAGATGACGTGCGGCGTTTCTGAGTAAGCATTGACATAGTAGTGATTGGAAGTACGACTGTTTCATAAAGAATCAAATCAATCACGATTCAAAAATTAAATATATTTTGTATCTGTAGCCAACAGTTTTAGATCCTTTGCTCAAGATATTCTATTTGTCTATGTTTTTTTCATGTGTTGCCACTTTGTTAGTAGTTACCAAGAAGCACGGTAAAATCATTTATGACAATATTACTGCATATTGGAGGCCGAAAAATAAACGATAACAAATAAATGTATGTAAGGTAATATTTAGTGCTTAGTGACAGTAAATATTTTTCTATCAAGTAAATTAAATTTAAAAAAATGCTTCATGAAATATTATTACATTTATTATAAATAATATAATGGTTAAGGGTCATCATGGTTAAAAAAATCAACAATGACTAGCGCTAACTGAAAGAGTATAGTAACTTTTTTTGCAATCTATGATGTAAGATTATAGTGCTTGGTTTTTGAAGTGAAAACTTCTTTAGCACCGTTGTTATTTGAAACTCGATGAAACGAAAAAGCGACAGTATTTGATACAAGGTATCCGTAATTTTGTAACTCTCTGTAAATGTCTCTTGCAGAGAGATACAAAGTTACGGATACCCGAATAGCGGAACGGTAACGGTCTTGGGGTCGACATCAAGTGATCCGTGGTTCGATCCTAAGTATTGTGTTTGTTTTAATTGTTTTTTTTTCATTTATTGAGCTATTATTTATGTTTCGAAACAATTTAAGTATAAAATATTTAATTTTACCTACTAGGCATTAAGGTTTACGTGTTTACATTATTGTAAGGTTCACTTCTATCACATGTGATGTGAATAGCACATGTCCGTTTTTTTAACCTTTCAAATTTTGGACTAAGTAATTCACAAGATAACAAAAATCATTGCATGCACTGATGTCACTATTAACAAGAAATTCCTCACCGGAAGGATTACAATTTATTTTAGTGGCTTTTTAAGGGAAAAACCTACATCCAGCAGCGGATTGATGCAGGCAAATGATGACAATAATATATTATTTTATTATTATTCATGTGTGTGAGGTTGATTCTATTGTCCGTTACTATTAACAGTTTCAGAGCTAGAGCTGAATGTTAATTTTTTTTGCAATATTATTCCACTGTGAAGGTAAAGGATGCTAAATCCACAATGTTTTCTACTTTTTTATGTTTCACTTTTCACTTTTGTAACGAAGTCAGCGCAAGTCAGCTTCAATGTTTGACTAAATTCATGTCCCTTTCAAATATTTCTTTACCCATTCAAATATGTTATAACAAAGACATTTAAAAGGCAAAACTACATTAATTATACATCTCGGTATCCATGACGAAGTAAGTAACACTTAAAATTAAATATCCAGTTACCCTTTATTGTCTATGACACTAACATGATGGTGGGGTAACAGAGAAGTGTATACTGGCAACATTTTTTGTTAACTGGTACGAACGCAAGATGGCCACCAATTTATGTGAATGCAAGGACATGTAGAAAAGTGATATCCGTTTTAGGTGATATTCCATTAGAACATTGTGATAATAACTTAAAATTTAGGAACCCTGTTTTTGTGTTTGTGTCATGTACATGTTTTTGTGCAATTTGTTATGAGATATCAATGGTGTTACGGTCATTTGTGCAATATTGCGTTGGATGCCATATATAATGTTCAGTGTTGAATTGTGATTATTTATGCAGTGATATCCCTTTTTGGATCGCTATGAGCGCCGTTGTTGGATGATACCTGTTATTTTATGTAAGTACATTATTTTTCAATATCATCTGGTAGTTTTACGAGCAGTAATATGACGTTTAGGGCTGTCGTCACTTGTGGTAACCTATTTGACTATATTGGGGGTTTGCAGTGGCGTGGCGGGTTTAAGCTGGCGCCGGAAAGCCGGCTTCAGCGTATTGAAAGCAGCTGTTCATGTCTCACGCGTCAGACATTCGGCTTTCGTCGATAACCACGTATTATCATTGAGATTTCGATTCGAAACTGACGATGTGTTGTTTCTATAGAACAGATGTTCTTAACACTACGCGATTGTCGCGATAACATCGAGCTGTTGAAACTTTAATGACGGATTGTTCGTTTCTTGTAGAGTTCTCTATTTAATAACCTCTTAGATTTCGGTTGTTCTATGCACAAATATTGTCACACATTTAATTACTATCATTAAATATGAATAAACGGAAAGAGACTGTGATTTCCTTAAATAAAATAAGGAAATCTCTCTTTGTTCTTCATTTACACAAATATATTCGAATACAAAGTTCATAAACATTAGAATTGAATAAATTCT